TGAAAAGTTAATGTGAGACTTGTGATACTTAATATGTAATAATTTGGTTAATACATGTACAGTTGTTCATATGTGACAGCTGTGTTTAGTAGCCACAACACTGGGTTATATTGCCAGGCAACCGTCCTACACTGAGTGACAGGAGACTCAGCCAATGACTAGCAGTGTTTATGGGAGCAGCTGATAGGACTCTTAGATCAGTTCCTTTTGCCATGATCTGTCCTTGAGTTTGATTGAGGTCGTCATCGTGACCACATGCAAAACTTTATTTTTATTCCGTATTTAACAGACAGATCTGCAGTCGACCTTACATCCTGCCAGACTCTTAACCACTGAGTTGAAATAGTAAAATGACTGCAGTCAGCAATGTAGAAATCACGTTTTGGCCTCCCTGGAAAATTATTTTACTTAGATATGCAAATATGTTCCAAAATGTCTAGTTCTAAAAATAGTGAAAAAATAATTTTCAGTTCCCTTGTACTTATTTATGGTTGATTATAATATTCTTTCTTGCTTTATTTGAAGTTGTTCACCCTTCAGGCATTGTAAATGCTGTTTTTGATAGCTGTCTTTCAATATACAATAGTCATCAGAGTTTATAGAGTTTTACAGTAGAGTGTGTTTGACTGTCGTTGATACTGATTCATTTTGATGCCCTGGATCTTATGAGCTGTCATGCAGCTCTTTCATATATTAGCTAAAAATAGTTCAAACTGAGGCCCAGCTCTGGGTTGAGGAGGGACTGTGGCTAACATGATTTTAACCAAATCTCTCACAGTGTATGGCGTTATGTAATATATGCAAACCTTAGTTCCGGTTCTCGAATTGGCCATGTTTTCCCCCTTGAGTGGCGTTTCAAGAGCATTGATTTATAAATACAACAGCATTGGCAAATGTCATTTTTCGTGTTCGTGGTGTTCCAAACTGGCTGTCAGTATGTGCGTTATTGGTGGGGATTTTTTAATTGCTCTTTCTTTGAGTTGCATCCTTACACCAGTAGGTGACAACAAGTGTCGAAAACTTTATTGGATGAGTGTGTCATTGAATTATTCACTCAAGTGATTGTTAAAAAACACTGATTCATTTAGAAATGAACACCACTACTGTATATAGTTGATACGGTTGTGTCTTTGTTTAAAACTATTTTTATTGTTGTTGTTAAAGCAAAAATTAACTGTCAGTATTGTGTAGTAGGGATGGTAAGATGCATCGGCATAAAAGTTAACGATGCGATGCATCGATTTAAAAAAGTGTGCTTCGGATACAAGTTGGCATTTGTATTGTGATGCATCGTTTCTAATATATTTGCATTGGTAAAAACTGATTTATTTATATATAATTATTAGTAGATGCGCTATACTTTTATTATTTATTATTTAGTGGCCAGTATTTTATATGTAGATTGATTTTCTCCTCTCTAAACTGTTTCTCAAGCGCGTTCTCTCATCACTGCTGCTACGTGAATATGACATATGTGGACCGGAACACTTCGCAGACCGAGGCGTTAGAAGTCAGAAGGCACTTAAGTTAATTTATGATTTGCTGTCTGTCTGAACCAGAGAAATAAAAGCGAACAATCTGTACCATATTGTCACGATCACCAACTGGAGTGCCCATGAGCTCCAGCAGTGGTCACTCCATCCCTGACTTTTACCGTTAACCCAGGACTCCATTTCCCATAATCCTTTACCCGGACTCATCTGCACTCATCATCATTGCTAGCACCTGTCTTTCATTACCTCATTAGTCTCACTATAAGAATGGCACACACACTCTCTCAGATCTCTGTTGTTTGTTAAGGCTGATTTATACTTCTGCGTCGGACCTACGCCGTAGGCTATGCGTCAGTTTTCATTTATACTTCTGCGTCGTTGTCCGTGTCAACGTGCAGTACACATGCAAACCGCTAGTCAGCAGTGTCCACGGGCATGTTGCTGGTGTAACCCGCAGTACCACGGCAAAAGCCGAAGAAGAAGCGGCTCGTCAGAGAAGCATTATAGCCGTGACGGCGGCAAATAAATATGAAATCATTAAATCATTTTTTAAAACTACAAAAAGGAGACAACAACGGAACAGGAGATGATGGCATTCTTTCAATCTGCACAAGGACTTGTACCGCGGCAGATCAACATTGTTTGTTGCAGACAACTACTGATGTATAATGCTATGTAGTATAATAAATGATAAGACACTTGTTCTTTGCTTTGTTTTATTTTATATAACAAGGTGTAACATTAAAATATATTAAAGTGCACATAAACACACACAAAACTCAAGTACATATGGAGGGAGGGATTCTTGCAGACCAATCACAGCGCTTGCGGTCTGCGTAGAATTGATGCTCTGTTAGATTTTTGGAGAGGTGCACATCAGGCTACGGAGTATGGGTGTGCGTCTATGCGTAAGCTACGGCGTAGGTCCGACGCAGAAGTATAAATCAGCCATTAGCCTGTACGTTACCTAGGTTCCCTGTTTCCTTGCCTTTTCCTGTTTTATGATTGTTTGCTGCCTGTCCTGACTTTAGCCTGTTTTTGTGGATTACTCTTTTGGATTCCCTTGGATATAACTGTTTGCTGTTACTGGCCCCTGCCTGTCTGACTACGCTCTTTTATTAAAAAGCCTTGCATTTGGATCCTCAACTCCGTTGTCAGTCCTCCCTTGTTACACATATTGAATGGCATAGCATCATATTTTTTTTCCCCTTTGCATCGAATTGCACTGAATCGCAATGTGTTGAATCAAATCAAATCGAAATCGTAATAGGGCTGAATTGTATTGCATCGCATCAGTAGCTGCTTCATATGTATCATATCATTGGCTATGCATCGAGATGCGTATCGCATCGGCCTCAGTTATGGAGTTGCATATCCCTACTGTGTAGTATAAATTTTCTTAATATTAGCATACTTTGGAGTTCTTATTGTATGAATTTTAGGAACCTGAAATTTCTGCGCATTTTAATGGGAGTTACTTTAATGTTTCTAGACAGTTTGCTCTTCTCATCTCCCTGTCAATGAATGTCCAAGCCATTTTTCACCACAAAAACACAAAATAAGCAATATGTTTTCATAGAGAAAATTAAGCTAAAACATTAAGCTTTATTTTTAGCACACTATGGTGTGGCAATGTCATGTTACAATATTTAGACAGTTTGGCACATACCCCCATTGTCTTTATCCTTAAATAATAATTTACTGTAATGCAAAATATATTAGTAGTATAGTAGTAGCATTTTAATTGTCAAGTATATTAAGATACCGAGGGTGATTTGTTGTGTTTTTTCTTTTCCCCCCAGTAATTAACATAATTGGTTTCTTTTTAAAGGATAGCACTTAAGTACTTAATTGTCATGACAAAAAAATTCTCTCTTAATTATTCTTAAAAACCTTAATTGTCCTTTACGCATTTTTTTATTTTAATTGTGTGGAATTCATTGTGACATTACTAATCAAGTCGGAGGTAATTCCTTCATATTGCCCCACCAGCATGTTGTCATCAGTATGAGCCTTTCACCAGTAAGCCGATGAGGTGGCAACTGGAAAATCATCAACAGCAGGTCCACGGCACCGTAAAATGACATCATAGCTGAGCGCAAGCTTGTGATTGGATCATTTACACCATTCAAGAACTGTGGTGTTGAATAGAATCACATAGCCAGTTTTATCAAATTAAATCAGTATTTAGTTTTAAAAGAATATGAATAACAAGACAAAGCCTTTGTATAGAATACAAAAAAAACAAAAAACTCTGGTTGTCAATAAAAATCCAGGACCACTTCTGATTAAGTGTGTCTCCTTTTTTTCCACCAGCCTATTTGTAGCAGTTCTTGGCACAGTGAATTGCAGAGAGTCAGCTGCTTATTTTGGCAGGCAGACAGAAGCAGAACACCTGCAGTCACTGTACCAGCTACTTACATTCGAGCTGAGCACCAAAATCAAAGATTCCACGCATGCATCGCTACCACTGGCAGAAGACATCAATGGAAGAGTGATGGAGAAATACAGAGTGAAGTTAAGCAACAAAGCACATGCAGACACACGCAGTCGCTAACACAGCCTTGAATAGAGAGCCAGTTGCCATAGCAACCTTTCTAGAGGAGACTGGGTCGGGCTGTGACGAAGCAGCTGATGAAGTGCGCTCTGATTGGCTGGCTTTGCTGGTAGGCCCCGCCCTCCAGAGTGTGATACAACCTTGACTAGCGGTACAGTTTCCTGCCCAACACTGCTGGCTTTTAGAGACTCGACGCATTTTTCCCTTCATCATCTCTTGTTCTTTGACCTTGTATGTGTAGGATGTCTTGTGACTAGTTAGTGGCAGATCGGTAGATCAGGCTGCTGGGAGAATGGGCGGCCGTGGGTGCATGTATGTGTGTGTGACCTCAGACGCCGGACAGGAGAGGCTGCAGCTCAAGACTGAAGGAGACTGAGCATGCAGAGGTTTGTGGAGGCTGATTACTACGAGCTGGACTGGTACTATGAAGAGTGTGCTGACGGTAAGACCATGGTGGAAAAATCTCATCGGCTGCCACTAAGGGGGAGAGAGGGGGCAGAGGGGTGGGGAGAGGTACCCCAGGGAATTAAACACTTTTGGAAAGTTGGTTAGTAACATGGTCTGCCGTAGACGAGACTGGGAAAGGATATTGGAAAAGATTTGGGCCGAGGCATGTGTATGACAGAGGTAATGTGGAGAGTGACTAGGTGGCCTCTTAGCTCCTGTGTTGTATCAGACTCAGCACCATTTTACCTTGGAGGGTAACTTTTTAAAATGCCTTGCTTTAATAAGTCACAAACTTTAT